AATACAACATAATTTTTATTTAGATACAATTTTTGTAAATTGTAGTACATAATATTATTTTGTTGAGATTATGTGGAATACAACATATTTTTTGTTATATTGCTTCTTATTTTGTGTTTCTAACTGTATGTCATCAAAAGCGTTATATTTCTATCCTCATAATGTATCTCAATATCTCTCTATTTAAATCTCAGTTTAAAGTTTTAGAATGTTCTCTCCTATGATTTTTCTCCTTCTGTTATTAACTAATTTTATTCTTCAAAATTAAACAAATGAAAAGAAATACATAATCAACCCTATAACAAAAGAAAATATTGTCATATTTAATAAATATTGAAAGTGTCGCTAAGGGGTCCTATTAAATGCTAAAATATTGTCATTTTGAAAATTTTCCCATTATTCTTTTTAGGTCCATTAAGGCCCAATTAAATTTGGAAGTGCTTATTAGAAAGTCCAACAAAAAAATAATGGTCCCAAAAATAATTTCTTTCTCCGAGGCTGGAGTCGAAATTGAGTAATCCCGAATATGCCATCACAACTCATATTGATTGAACACCTTATATATAGTTTTGGGTCATTTGCACTTTTGCTCTTATTTTAGGTTGGTCGTTAATTTTCGCTCTTCATAATAAATAATATCTTTGTGGGACATAATTAAATTTATCTTTTTGCATCATAATATTTCACAAGTTAATTATGATCTGTATAGCTTTTGCCATAAAGAATTTTCTGAATAGGTTTAAGTTTTTTATTGCTAAAGGTTAATAATTAAAGACGAATTCATTCTAGTCCTAATCTTTAGAAGGTAAATTGGGTTAGAGAAAGTATACATATATTATTTAAAAATTACGTAGAAAGCAATATAAATCACAATAATTAACAACTAAAAATATTTAAAAGACATATAAAAAATTTGATTGATTCTCAAAATTATATCAATGCCGCATAAATTAGGATAGAAGAAGTAGCACATATTATTTGTAAATGACATAAACATAACATATATCACAATAATTAACAACTTCAAAATTTAAAAGACATATTAAATGAATGGTTCATTATAAAAATTCTATCAATGCCACATAAGGTGGGATAAAGTGAATAACATATACTATTATTTAAAAGTTACATAAAATAGTATTATAAGTCACAATATATTAAAATATAATTGACTCTCCATATATTCTATTTATATCACATGAATTGAGATAAAAAAATTGCATAGCACAATATAAAATGGGAAAATTGTATATAATAACAAACTATTAATTCAAATTAAATGCTATAAATATAGTTTGATTTAATTGTACCTCATAGCAAATTATTGCTATTTCACCTCTCTCCTGGTGAATCTCGCTCGCCACTCTGGTTCTCTCCCTCGCCTCTCTCGTTTTTTATACAAACGCAAGTGTATAAAGTGCGTTTGTGTTTGTATAAAGCGAGAGAAAATTGTATATACACATGCAAATACATATATCTTCGTCCTATACACTTATAATTATACAA